TTGACCTGTCCCAACAACTCCCTTTCTTCCCTATTTTCATACATAGATACCTTTTTCTGTGTTGCATGCTTCATCTTTTTACGTCCTCATCTGTGGTATGACCCTGGCACATGATCTGGTTCTGTGCAGGGTGATGTGGCATCCAGGGTCCAACACTGCCATGTTTAGCAGAGAACTGCACATCCCAGCTGCTACCTTTTAATTTTGTATGTGCAGCTCTTTCCCATGACCCATGCAAAAAAATGTGAAGGTTCTCTGTTACTCTGGGAAAGAAGCTGCTTTGCAAATAGACACAAGGCAGTCCAGGTGGGCCATTTCTGAAAGAAGCAGAGGGACGGTCCTTTTATCCTGGGGAGATGGTTGTGTCTGAAGGACAACTGGATTAACCAGGCTGAGGTCAGAAAAGCCTGGGGTTATCACATGCATGTGCTTAATGTCATCATGGAACACAGTATACCTTGATGCGGCAGCTTCCAGGATAAATTAGCTTTGTGGGAGAGCTGAGGTGGAAATGGAGAAATCTGAGAAGTGGCAGCCATCCAGTAGACAAGAACCCAAGGGAATCAATGTGATCTGATGTTCTGCGAGGCAGAGCTGCGATCATCGGGTAGGCTTCATGCAGTGCTTTCGTGGTGTGCTGCTGCTCCTACTCTGTCTTCTTCCTACCATGAAGAAATGCCTTGATTTCCTGCTTCTGGTATCCTGATACCTGGTTCTGATGAATGGAGAGGCACCACTCTCTCTCCCTCTTGCTCTCATGATTGCAGAGGCTGGAACATGTTTCAGATACATTCTTCTGCAGTTTCAAAATCTACCCCAATACCAGAACAATTAGATGTGTTGTTGACTTTTTGTGTTGATATTTTAGGCAGTATTTTATGCTTAGGATGCAAAAATCTTCAATATAAAGCACACACGAAAGTTTAGCAGAGACTTAGTTCATGTAGTTTCCAGCTTTATTGTGTCTAGACCTAAAAGTACCATATTTTGTTTTAAGAGAGAATTGCCTTGCCCATCACATTATTTATTTGACAGTGGCAGCTTCAATGCATGGGGATCAGCAGCATTGCTGTTCCATAGCATGATTTGTAAGAGAAACTGTAATTCTTATGTTAGCACAGTGTGAAGTCAATGAAGTTTGGAAGGTGTGTAGGGGTGAGTTGTTCACTTGCTGTTACTGAAAAGATTTGTGGTCAAATTAATGATGGCTGCATTTCATTTTGTAACTACATCTCCAAAAGACTGTTGCTTTTAACTGAATGACAACAATAAGACTGGGTGGAAAAAAGAAGAGAGTAAGGCCATAATTGAGTAGTCAGAAAATAGGTATTGAGTAAGATTAAACAGCATGCAAATGGTATTTCTTCCTGGCCTTGCTAAATTCTTTTAATACAACATTTGATTGTAACTGACTAGGTTGCATTTCTATGTGTTTATGAGGTGAGTGTTCTAGGATAGTCTCTGTTGTTTTTTATTTATTACTAAGTTCTCAAATCTCAGGGATTCCTGGTACTCAATATGGTAAAGTCTTGCCACATCTTTCCCTTGTGTGGCCAGGAACAGCAACAATATTCTGTATGAAGTTTCCTTGATATTTTAAGAGATTCATCACTTTTAAAAATCTAGGAGTAGGGTGGATTTTTTTTTTGTTCTTCTTACCCTTCTCTGAAACCTGTTACTGACACAGACAGATGCATAGCTCCAGATACTAAAATGGCTTAAATGTTTGCTGCATTTAATCTTGGGGAGATAAGTTATCTTTGAGCCAATCTAGTGGCATGATTGCTGGCAGGTAAGGAGGTCACTCTCCAGACAGAGTTGTTCATGCCAAGAATCAGACTTATGATGTACAGTGATGTTGCAGACAGCTGATTTACAGGTGCTTTTATATATATAGATATATGTATAAAGTTGAATTTTCTGTAGCTAATAAAGAGTAACTGTAATCACTTACTGAATCCTGCCTTCATCCTGCCTGTGACAGATTTTAGACTTTGCTAATCCATACCATGCCATTTATGTCAACTGGCAGTGTCATCATCAAAGTTGTGGCATATCCAAGTGTTTAGATAGAAACGTACACTTTTGTGTACAGAGGACTTTGTAATATATAATTTTGTTGGTAAATTGTCTGCTTGTTTCCACCGTTAACACCCTTCTTGTACCTCAATTCTCAGAAACGGCAGGGTACAATTTACTGTTTAAGATGAGAAATGAGAAGAAACCCATAGTACTACCTCGATTCTTTTGCTCACTAGCCCTCTGCAACAATACGTATAGTGTTTCACATGGTGAGAACAAATAAACGGTCTTCAGTTTCATAGAGTCAGCCAAGTTTATCATGTTTGTAATTCTGTCTTCTACGCTTCATGCCCTTTACTTAGCTAATTCACCGAATGCTCTGTATTCACCTCTTGGACTGCAGGGGTTATAATCTTTATATCTTGCTTAAGTAAACAGGCAATCCGGCTCCCTTCGTACATGGATTACATTCTGTTCAATAACACACAGTCAACTTCTGGGGTAAGATAATGACAGGAGTAAGAAAGAGATAGATAGAACAGCTTTTGACATGGGAAGCAGAGCCTCGAGGCACTGAATTGGTAGGAGATATTAGGGGTAGAGGTCGGTTAATTTGCTTAAAGGCTCAATAAGGTGAGGCGTTTCCCATTTTGAAGAGGAGAAACTCATTCCCCTTAGACTGGTAAACTGTTGAGTTTTTCGTTTCATTTCTCCCTTTCCACAGGAGGTCTTGGGGTGGTTTTGTATGTGTGTCCACATATTTGTTTAAGATAAACATTGCTCTTGTCACTCAATAGATGAGACCAAAATGGTATAAAATGGAACTAAAATGCAAATGAGATGTTGAATTAGACAGAAGTTACACAAGAGGGAAGTGATTAATGCTTTATGTGCACTGTGCTGCCATTAAGTTAAACTTGAAGAGAGAACCTTTGTTTTGTTTTGTCAAAGGATGGCTTTATTTAGCTTCTTTGGGAACATTCAAAAGTAGAGATACTGGGCTGGAGTTTGGAGCTCTGCTTTCTTTTCCTTGGCTTTAATTCCCGCAAAGCTCACTGTACGAACTCCTGATGCCTGTCATCTAGGGAGGGCGATAAATGTACTTCTCTAAGATACTTCTTAGGGATTATAGATAGTTGTTAGCTGTGTTTCGAATTCTTTAAAAATCATCCAGAGTTGGTGTTTGTCCATTAATGCAGTAATGCCAAGAAGAGTTACATTCCTCGCTTCCCAGTCACTAATACAACGTGTGCCCTTCCTGTGCCTGCTGCATGGTCCAAGCGGAGCCCTGCAGAGAGCTAATATGAAATACGAATTGCAGTATCAGCCTCCTGAGACCATGACTTTTCTTGTGGAAAATGAAATTTTGCAGATACCTGGCTTTATTTCCAGTGGCATGGTTCCATAGCCAGAATGATGTGTGGCTGGGATGCTCCTTAGATAGGCAGCTGAACCTGCAGTTCATTAGAAACAGCTGGAGTCCGTTACCGTGCTCACCTACCTGCCAACAACAACTAGTAAAATTTGAAGGTGATTCTCTGGTCTGTGCCTCTTTCTGTAAAGTTAAGAAGCTGAATAGTTATTCAGTTAAAATTTTTACACTATGTTAGTTCTGTAGCTAAAACTCACAGGCTTTTGTTGTAGGAGTAGATGTCTCTTGCTCTCTGTCCTGGTTTGAGGTGCATTCTTAAGAAACCAAACCTTTTTTGTGAAACAGTTTCTTTAAGGTTTTGAAGTGTACTACAGTTTGATCTTAAAGAAGCCGTGAGCCTAGATACACTGGTGCTGGGAGAGATGATCTTCCTATTTTTCTATTAGTTTTTTTCATGTATTAGAGTCTCAAACACAAGCCTTTAAAATCTTCAAATAATTTTTGTGCCAAAAAAAAAAAGACTTTCAAGGAGAAACATTTTCTTCTTAAAAACATGTTAGTTTGACTTCTTCGACAGACCCTTACTAGACATTTGTTATTATTTTTAGTTTTCATTCATGTATTTTGTTGCATTTAGGTGAAACATACAACACTAAAATTTCAGGCATCCATTACTACCCATATTGTTAACCAGTTTCTACTTATCTCTGTAACCAATTAAAATAACTGGGTTTTAAGCATAGTGGTCATATTAATGAATTCTTAAATGCTGTAAAATATACTTCCTCAATGTTCTAAAAAAGTTAGAGAATCTGGGTTTGGGAAAAATTACTTGTCTATAAAATCCTTTGTTTTTTCAAACAAGATAATACAGCAATTTAAAACTATTCCAACTATTAAAAACAAAGAGCTGGGTGGGATCTAACTTATGTGTCAGTAGTTCTGCAGAAGTACCTGCCTGTGTTTTCTGTTAATATCTGGCAAGGATGGGTATCTGGGAAAACTCCCAGAGGAGAGGGACGTCCAATATAGTTGTCATAGTCTCCCAAATGATTTTTTTTTTTTGTTTAATTTATAAGCATACTGCAAATTTCATTGAAGCTGTAAATTTTTAATTTTGTTTCATTTATGGATTAAATAATTTTATGTGTTTCAGTCTAAAAATATGTGCTTCCAGTTGTCTTATGTTAAGCTAAGTTGTTTAGCAACATATCAAAACAATTCCATGAAAAGATTACTATCTTTTTTTATTAATCCCATAGGCAGCTTTTGCAAATGTTTTTGTACTACAAATGACTGCAGCGAGGCATTAAAGCACATGCAGAGAACAGAATTCCCCCTGTGTATCCTTCTTGCCGTTCAAGTTACGTTTTAATACCAACCTCATCGCATGGTTTAGAGAACTATGTGTACTTGGTTCAGGGTGCTGTTACAGCTATTTAGTACCAATAACTGATGAAGAGTTTTACATAGTCTTCCTTTTCCAGTAAGAAGTTAAATCTGATTTCCTGTGTTCTGCCCAGTCCATGCTTTTCTGTCAGTTAAAATTCGCTTTAGGAGAGTTGTAGGAAAGCAATGTTAAAACCACTGTAATATTTTCTTTCAGGAATTACGGCGGAAGTCATAGTGGTAGCCTCTTTTGATGAACTGCACAAAAGGGCTCAGGAGGCCAAGGGGAAGATTGTTGTCTACAACGAACCTTTCATCAGTTATGGTGAAACGGTGCGATACAGATCACAGGGAGCAGTGGAAGCTGCTAAAGTTGGAGCAGTGGCATCCCTCATTAGATCCATTGCTTCTTTTTCTATTCATAGGTAAGTATTTTTCTCTTTTCTCCCTCTGACTCACATTTCAGCCATTAATTCACGTGTCATTTCTGGGCAGGCATTTTTGTTCACTATGACTTAAACGTTGCCAGCTATGAGTGGGTGTTCGGGTTTTGAAACTGTTGGCTGCACAATAGTTCTTTTCCCCTGTGCTTTGTCATTTTTTCAAAATGTTTTCATTTTTTGTTAACGATCCAAATTTTGTATGATATTTGTTTTAAAAAACTTTCTTCATTGTCAAGGCTACCGTAAATATTCTGAGATCAACCAAAATCAACTGCCTTTGGTGACAAAATGCACCAGACTGTTGGTGATGGTATGGACTGGTCATTCTGTCTATTTGACTAGAATGTAAGCGTACAGTTTTTATTGTATTGGTAGTTTTCCTGGCACGAGGCTGACTTGTTCTAGATGAAGGAGTAGTTTGCTTTGAACATAATTATTTTGAACACTATAGCAGTAGCGTTTCTAATTCTCCCTCTGCTTTTTAAGGTGGGTTGAAATAATTTCTTAATAATTAAATTTATTTAGATGTCTCGGTATGTTATTTCTTATATATAGTTTTTACATTTCTGAAATGAGTGTTTTTTGTTTTCTGTGAGATGGGTATTTTTCTAATACCTTTCTTTTTTTGGACAATATATATTCAGAGCAGTGCAGGCCATTTATTCCACCACCTTGTTGCCCAGTGACTATTTACCCACAGAGGAATCATCGGCAGTAGCTAAGCTGAGCCTGAATGTATGCCACATCATAAACTGGAGCTGTGTTCTGTTTGGATAACATCATGGTTTCTTTCTGATCTCTGCTCCTAGATTTTCTTTCCCTGTAAGTCCAGGCTAGGAAGTGGGAAGGGCTGGTGTGGCTTTGCACCTTGCTTGGGGCTGGGACTGGGAATTGGCTGGGACAGGCACTTGGACACACGCTTGGTTTCACCATTTCAGGCAAAACACAAGTGGTCACATCTCAGCAGTGCAAGCATCACCATTTTTGATGCTTCAAGAAGTTTGAGAAATGCAGTGATGCCAGCTAACTATTGGATCAGTGCAGAGGACAGCTCTGCTGCCAGCGTAGCTGCTTGTTAGCATTTTTATGTGCTCCATATTCCCCTAAAGAATCCAACATTACCGGTTTAAAATACTTTTTCAAAAGTAAAGTACTTTGAATTCAGATAGTATCCAAACTACATTACTATATTTCTTGATGCCCAACAGATGTAGCAATGTTTACAATATATTTTCTAATACTTTTCTAATAAATTTTATAATAATGATAATTTAATGATAGAGTCACAGTTAGTATCATCAAAGAATATTGCAATCTATAATCTGTTGATTATCTGAAAACTGGAAGAGGATCTGAACACTGATCTATCCCATCCTTAGTTCTGGTGCCCTGCAGAGGTGTTCATTTGAAAGAGATTCTTTGCATCTTCTGTTTGCCAGACTATTTATGGAAGTGTATTTTAACATGTAATGGAAAATTTACAGATGAGGAACAGAGGTGGAGACTGAACATAGTAAAGCCTGTTTATTAGGTCTGGGCACTGGCATTACAGCTATTTCAGAATTGCATGAAAAGAGAAGAGAAACAGATGCCAAATATATGTTTGTTTAGAAGTATTGAATCCTTAATTGAGGCTGGGAGCCAGGGTGTCATTCCCAAAAGCAATTTCAAATTTAGATGCTGCCAGGAAGCATTTTTTTCATGAAATGTACTTTCTGTCCTTTCTTCTTTCACCTTGGCTTAGAGGTTTTTTTGGGTGGGAGGAGGGATTGGTTAATCTGTTTTTTCCTGTATTAAGGGAGGTATTCAGCCCATCACTTCTGCCATTCCGTGATGCCTAGATATGGTTGTCTTGTTTCTAACAGAAAACAGGTATTGCTGTAGGCAGGCTGGATTTTCTTATCTCCATGCCTTCTCCTTTGTTTTCTCTTAATCAGCAGCTGTGTGTCTCCTTGTCTGTCCTACCAATGTGCTGTGCTGGATGGACTCTGTGCTGGATGTGGTGCTTCTTGTCAATCAGTGTCTGGGGTCCTGTTTGTTCAAGTCTCTTGCCTTCTGGATTGACTGATGGGAAATACTGTCGCTGCAGGGAGTAGTGTCTTAGAAGGGTGAGAGATGAAAGGTAAAAAGACTGAAAAGACAATAAAATACTTGTAAGTCTTGTGAAATTAAGTCTTGCATTCTTGCAGTTTGTATACTGCTGCTTTGTTGACCAGAACCTTTACTTCTTGGGCCTGTGTGTTTTTACATGTGCACCTATAATATGAATAACCGATAATGGGATTGTGGCAGTTCTCCAAAACATCCTGGAAACATCTTAGAAGAAAATATTCTTTTTCTGGTAGAGCACTGTCCCACTTTCCTCGTGAATGAAGGGTAAAGCATCACAATTTTCCCGAAGCTTTGATGTGGTGGGTTTTGGGGCTGGTTTTTTTTGGATTTTATTTTATTTTTTTTAAGATTTCAACCCCTTATGGACAGTGGGTCACTTACTGTTATTTGCTTACCCTATTTGCAACAGATTAAGCTGTCTGGAAACAATGGAAGCCACTTTGAGGTGTGATTTCCGGGTAATATTGATTGGCTAAAACTACGTACTTTCTAGTGGATGTTTTAGGCTTACTAGGGCTGATTATTAGAGCTTACTGACAAGCCAGAACTGGTAAAAATCACAACATGAATTCAATCAGTGTTCTCTTGCTGGCAGCTTGGTGGTTGTTCCTTGTTCCAGCAATGGCAAATGTCTGCCACATTGTCAAGGACAAAAAGTGTGAAGGGAACCTCTGAGCAGGGATTATGTGGACAGCTTATTTTTCTTTAAGGTATGGTAGGATAGCTGTGGCGTGAATGAAACTGCCTGGGGACTCGGGCGTCCAAACTCCAGATGAGGGCAAGAAGGGATGAATTTGAATATACTCAGGAAAAAATCACTGCTGTGTTTCTACTGGGGCTCATGCCAACTCGTCGGTAACAGTGAAGGATTTGAAGGATTTGTTGTTGAGTTTCAAGGAATGGATTCATTTACTTAGGAAAGAAATGGTGAGTAGGAAATAAAATTAGCAGTAGCATCTCCCTTGGCCTATGAAGAGGTGGCAGGATTGGTATTACCATGTTGTGTGGCAGTTGTGTCTTGTGGCATTGTCCTTGTGTTACAGTCAAAGAATTCTCTTTCTACTTTAGGGGTGTCATGTAAAGGTAAGTTTTGTTATTTAGGAGAAAGTCACTGTAACAGGTAGGTAATTTTCACTGCCCTCCACTCGACCGGTGTGTTTATGACAGCCTTTTCCCAGTAGCAGTTTCCTGAAGCACTGGCAGTTTGGTAGTGAAAACATTTGAATGTGGATGTTAGGAGTTAAGAGTAACAGAACTATTTTTAATGAAACTTCTCAAATAACATGTATTATTGTAATCAGTCAACAGTATGCCTACTATTTGGCTTTTTGGAGAAATCCGGATGTTGACTTTTTTTGCTTTAATAGCTTGACTGTGTGGTGATTAATGGTCTTGTACAAGTTAAAGTAATGCATACTTTTACTGTTGTGTACAATAAACTCATGGGTATTTCCCAGTTTGTAGTGGATGTATTTACAGCAAAAATACTCAATTTACAAGGCATGGTGGTTGTAATATGCTAGCCATAAGTCTGTTTTTTTCTTCCTAGCTGTAAATTTTTAGAACATTTTATAGATAAAAGGTATCCTTTAGTGATTGAAATCGTCCAGTATTTATCCTATGGTGACTGTACTCTTATGAATTTGAAACTATAAGTAAATCCTTCTGTTCCTCAAGAACCACAGATTCGATAGTCATAACGCTGTGTCTTGTAATGATGACCCATTTAAGGGCTCTAGAAAGAAGCCAGATAAGTGTTTTTAAAGTACTCAACAAGAAAGTTCCCCAGAATTCTCAGAGAAAAATGCCAAGAGCCCAATTATTATTTTTTTTAAAATCCTGCAGAACAATCTCTCCAGTAGATGAGAAATCCAACAGAGAACATATTACAAGGCCAAAATAGACCAACGAGGTCTCTGACCCAGTCTAGGGACTGTTAACAAGGACACATATTTGGTCAAGTTCTTCTCATTTTGGGCTCAATTCAGCATCTTATTCTTATCTGAAGTAAGTAATTTCCTTTACTTTCTCTCCCCTTCTTCAGGCTACAGATGGCCAAGACACAATGTCTGCTTGTGAACCTCTGGTAACTCTAATTAAAAGCTGTGTCTGGATGAAAGCTGAATTTGTGAGTGGCACAGTGCAACTCAAGATTTACAGCAGAGGTTGCATGGATAGCCTGAGTGGATGCATTTGTCACAATTAAGTGCAGGCATGCCAGGGCTGGAATATCATTTCATATAACATATGTGAATTCGAAAACTGTTACTTTTCCTTTATCTTAATTTCCCCTTTTTTTAACCTCACTTGGTTTATTTTCTTCTACCATGTATAGTCATGTATACTTTTGTGTATATACATTGTACTCTCAAAGTGCATTTTCTTTTCCTCTCCTGTTTTCCCTTTTATTCTTCACTGCTTTGTAATTCATTCCCTTCTCAATCTCGCTGGCAATGTATGTGAGTTGGTGTCATTTTTCAGCTCTCAAGTGCTAGCACAGTGATTTCTTCCCACATCACCTCTTCCTAATGCTTGGTCTGCTGCTTTTGGTGTCCCTGCCCAGGGCAGGGGGGTTGGAACTTTATGATCTTTAAGGTCCCTTCCAACTCTAACCATTCTATGATACAAGACTTGCCTGCTAAGGAGAGCTTCCTCCTGTCCCTAAAACTCCACGGCTAAGGAAAGCAGGGGCTTATTCCTGTCAGCAGTGGCAGACACACTCTTCTACTTGCTCTGCCAAGTTTTCTGAAATCTGGGATTGTACAGTAGTTTTGGTAGGATTTCTTTTTGCTTTTATTTGTTTTTTTCTTAATAGCAAAGAGTCTTTGACTTTAAAACTGTTTTGTCTTTGAAGTACTGCATCCTCTGGT